TGATCGTTGGATTCGAACCACGTGCCTCTACCTCCTTCTATACATCACATTATTCTTACACGTGCATTTATTATATTGACAAAGGGTAAGTTATCCTATATTTCTAGGCTGATATTACTGACATAAGATAAAGTAGACATCTAATCAGTCTTTCACAAGGATATTCGTCAGGTCGGCAGATGTGACAGCCTCCTCCTCTCTTAGGACTAAGGATGATAATGTTGCGGGTGGGATCGAAGCAATCTCGTTTTTTATCCCGGGGAATTTTTGTGAAGTGGAAGGTAATTATTCTTCTGCTTTGTTGCCCAATTTACTGGTTTATTTATTTATTTTTTGTTATATTTTTATGAGTTCAATATGATTTACATTTAAATGCATAAAATAAGAGTCAACGTGAGATCATATTTCCCGTCCTCAAGTCAATTCCTGGACTAACTAGTATATCTTCGTCCCAACTAGAGATAAGTTGCGGACAATGACCCTATGAACAGCTATGGAATGTGTTTTTCATATAGAAGAAAATAATAATGTCGATCCAATTCCTTTGACCAAAAATATCCGTCTTTGAAATTCTATTGAAAATTCATACAATAAATTGTTACAAAAACATAAAAATATAATTACTTCGTAATTTTGTACAGAATAGTAACATCGTTGAAACAATGTCCCTAAGTGTATAAAGAAAATTAGAGAGTCATACTTTTAAATTTCAATTATAATTTTTTTTTTCACATATCATGTAATTTTATTTTAAAAATATTTCAATTTTTTGAAAACTATTTAATTTATATTTTTAGTATATGTTTTTATTTCGTCCCCAACCCTTTTGATTATGAAAATATATATTTGATTTTTAATTTTTGTAATTCAAATTATTCAAAATGTGATTCTTATTAGTGTTTCAACTTTCAATATTATTAGGAGAGAGAGAGACACTTGTTCTCTTCCTTCTTCACCGTCATGGTTAGACGTCATATATGTAACACACATAAACTATATAATTCACAATCAATGTATTTTATTTTTACGTCGCACTTATTATCAAGCAATATTTTGCATGTCACTTGGTTACATTTACATTTTGCAAAGGTCACAAGTTTGCATGTCATGCATATCACAAATGATACAATTTTGTAAAAAATCTAAACTGTACAATAATTTTTCTCTCCATGTTCTTAGAAACGTTAAAATAAGAGACATTTATTGTAAGCAGATTTTTAGTGAAGGAATATGGCGATAGAAAATTATCTTTAATAACCATCAATTCATGTCCATATTTTTATCTTATATAAATCAATTATTATCTATTTTCATGTAAAAAATCTTTAACTATGACCTGATTTATGAAAAGGTTCTCAAATTTTGATATTTTTGAAAATATAATCTTAAAGTATGATAGTTACAATTTTTTCTAGTCAAAAAATTACCTGGAAGCCTAGATTTAAAAACAAGTTTTCATAAATAAAGAGGTTTAAGTTTAATTTCATAATTCAGGTGGTAATTAATTATTAAATTAATGTTAGATTAAATAAATGTATTCACCCAACACACCACACCCAAATTACGCAATCTCTCTCTTGTCCCCCCCACCCCCTATCTCTCTCTCTCTCTCTTGTAGTTCGCTGACTCCGACGAATACCTCACGGCGACTTCACCTGAAGACATAGCAACGCTAATCGCCGCCTCACAGCTATGGTTTGCATCTCCACTCACGATCGGGGTTGTTGAAGGGCTTGAAAATTTTGGGGAGGTGGTGAAACCCTAATCATCTTCTCTCTCTACATTCTCTCTATCACAAACTACCACCGGCAACGCTCAAGATGTCGCCACCACCGGCAACGCTCACGGTGTCGCCACCGCTGGTATGTGATTTCGGGTGGTTGCGGTGCCTTCGTCGCTGGTGTGTAGAGCGTTTATACGGTGGTGTCTAGATTGAGATTTGCAGTTTGTTGCAGTTAACTTGATTTTTGCATCATATTTTTGCAACTCGCTGGAAAGATGTCAAGTTGTGCTAAAAAAAAAAAAGGTTGTTCTTGTTGTATTAGTATATATGGCCTTTTGCCAACTGAAGATTTAATTTCTGAATTTTGACGATCAACGTGTGTTTTTGAGGCATGATGAACTGTGGGTGGTGTGTGGTGATGATTTACATGTGGTGGTGGTCGTACAGTGATGCTTGTGGTGGTGGCTAAGGTTTATTGAAAGTGTTGGTGGTGGTGGGTTATGTTGGGGGTGACAGGTTGTGCTGAAGGTGGTGAAGGGTGGGGAAGATTAAATGATAATTTGTGACCATTTAATTGGTTAATTGTGATTCATTTGATAATCTGTGATGGAGATATAAATTGTAATCCATTAATTCAATAATTTATGATTTAGAAAATAGATGTAACAAGTTAATTTAATAGTAATTTAAATAGAAATTGAGTAGTCAATATGGTCGTGTTCAATCTTAGAGAATTTACTGTGTGAAGATGACATATTAAAAATCTGCTAGCCCATTTATGGTTGTGAATTTGAGTTGAAGGTAGTGGTGGTGGTCCATTGGAGGTGATGCCGTGATGGTGGTGGTGACCAGTGGTGGATTGTAATGCTAGTTTGAGGAGTGTGCAGATTTGTTTGTGGTGACCTTACCAAATTTGTACTTATTGTGACGGGTTCAGGTTGTGGCCATTTTGTGTTAATTGTGACCAATTGTGACTTGATGTGAGTGGTGGATTGTGGTGCTAGTCCGAGGAGTGTGTAGATTTGTTTGTGGTGACCTTATCAAATTTGTACTTATTGTGACTTGTTGTGACCATTTTGTATTAATTGTGACCAATTGTGACTTGATGTGAGTGGTGGATTGTGGTGCTAGTCCGAGGAGTGTGTAGATTTGTTTGTGGTGACCTTATCAAATTTGTACTTATTGTGACTTGTTGTGACCATTTTGTATTAATTGTGACCAATTGTGACTTGATTAAATAGCGTCACAGTTAAGGTTGTGACCATTCTGTATTAATTGTGATTGGTTGAGATCACCATGTGTTAATTGTGACCTGATCACAGTTAAGATTGACTTGGCCACAAATAGCAACACTGAAAACAAATTTGGTCACAAACAGTCACATTGAAGATTTATTTGGTCACAGATATTCACATCTTGTGATTGTGCCTCTTTCTGAGCCATTAGGTGCAGGTGCAAATGATGGAATGATGGGTTGGAGGTGGTGGTGGGGGAGTGGTGGTATCAATGGTGGTGTTGGTGGTCGTGACTGTTTATATATTAACGTGACCCTATATGATTAAGTATATTTTAATATATAAAAAAGAACACATTTATTATTATCATCATCATCATCATCATCATCATCATCATCATCATCATCATTATTATTATTATTATTTTGAAATATTGATGTTCGAACCACAAATTTTGTAAGATTTGTGTTTTTTGAATTAATTAAAAGGGGATAGTTTGAGTGCTTAGTTAATTTGGAAATAAGAGAATGTAGAGTGCATTAAAATGGGGAAAGAAAAATCTTGAAATAAGTCGTCACAAATTACAAATTTTACAGGTCACAATTTCTTAACCGATCACGAATGATCAAATTAATAGGCAACGTGTTAGTTTTGAGTCACAAGTCACAAATTTTATAGGTCACAACTTATTTCACGATTACAGATTATCAAACTAATTGGTTAAAAGTTATTTTTCGATCACAAATTATCAAATAATTTGACCACAGCTTAATAAATTGCGAGTCACAATTTCACATTTTTCAAGTCACATCATTTATTGATCATGATTATCAATTTTAATAATAATAATAATAATAATAATAATAATAAATGTGTTCTTTTTTATATATTAAAATATTCTCAACGAGACACTCTTCACACCATTCCACCCCCAATCCCACCCCAACCAAAATGCAAAATGCCGCATCAGCAAGCTGAAAATAAGCAAACCAGTGAAACAACCATTTTCCAAACACAATTATCACCGCTATCATTGACACTGCAACGTCACCAATTCCTTCATCACAATCACGCCAACTCCATTCTACCTACCAGATAAATCTGTTGACAAATGACAACAAAACTTGGAGCGCCTACAGGCTGCAGTGCTCGATGCAAAAATTATACCAAGCACACGAGATACGACCAAATGCTCTCAAAAGTTGTTCACGGTGGTTTCAACTTTCAAGCTAGCTGCTGTTCTGCACTTCTAGCCTTAGGGATGCAATTTGGCAGGGTTAACAACGTTTTTAAAATCAAGGAACTTAATTTCTTTTACAGCTTTACAAAACCAAAACCGAAATTTATTTTACAGCTTCACAAAATCAGGCCAGTGAGGCGTCGATCAACTGTAGCGCTGTGATGCGGCTGTAGTGGAGACCGGTGCACAGAGCAATAGCTGCAGCGACTTCGCCCATGAGGCTCGACGACGTCTTCCGGCAGCGTCTCCCTCTTCCAACGACGATTTTTCAGTGGCGTTTTCCACATGGGAGAGAGAGAATGAGATGAGAGAGATGATAGATATGAAATAATTACAATTTCTAAGTGATATTTGGTGAGGTAGTGTGGGATGGGCCGATGGGGATGCGTAGGCAGATTATTTTAATTTTATATTATTTATTAATATTAAAATTTTGATTTAACACCTGAATTATGAAATAATTTAACAAGATTGTGAGGTTTGAAATGTGATTCTTAAATTGTAGCAGTTGTGTTGTTTTCCCATCTCAATATGTATAGATTCCAACAAGGGCTTGACAAAAATCCAACTCATGCCCACATGGGCCAAGTTGGGCATCAAAAGATTTTTGGGCTGAGTAAATGTTGTCTTATAGCACTACTATAGAGAGTAGAATTAAATAGGAATTAATAAAAAAAAAAAATGAGTTTATCCACACAAAATTTGTTTTTACTTTTTTATTTTTTTTTTCTAATTCCACCAATAATGAAAATACATCACATTGATTCTTATGAAAAGTTACTACATACTATTATAAACCCAATGATGCAAAGAATATTATTCCAATATCAATCCTTGTAATTCGTAAAGTACTATAATTTTGATCATGTGAAAATGCATAAAATTAAGGGCTAAAAGGAAGAAAAGAAAGTAAAACTGCCATCATAAAAGAGAACCTATTAAATAAAAAGGGAAAATATGAATTATGGTAAAGCAATAGAAATCTCATATATTTTTTGGCGGCGGAGTTGCCGCAGTGGCGGCTTTGAACATTATATCAAAGGCATTTTCAACACAAGATTTGTACTTGAGAGGATCTATTAGCTCATTTTCTGTTCCCACTGCAATCCTCAGCTGTCCCATGTAGCTCACCATAGTTATTGTAAGATTCTGCAAATTCAACAACATTTTTTGCATGTTCAAAAGGCTGAAAAAATATATATAAAAGATTTTGTATCCATTCTTTATCCGAGAAAATATGGAGCCTGTTGACGTCGAAATTTGTAAGAGTTAATTTCGAATCAACTTTAAGAAAGAAGTGTCATCAGAAGATAATAGCGGGGAAATTACTTTAAATTTTTCTTTGTTTTTGTGTACTGAGTTTGTTATTGTTTTTCTTTCTATTCTTTCATTATTTATACATGGTTCCCAGTCGAAATTACGTCAAATCAGTCAAATTAGCTACAATACCGAACTCGAAATTCGGGTCGCCGAATTCTTTTGTGATTGGACGATGAGGTCGGTGGCCATGTGCCAATGTTTTCCTGAGTAATGATGACCTTTGAAGAATTGAAGATTCCGGACCTTAGATTGGTAGCATTTGGCAGTGATTACATCACTTATGGCAAGTGTGTGAGATTGGGCGGTTGATGTGACAAGGAACAATCATAATCTCTCTTTTGTGAGGGTGACAAAGAAATGCCAAACTTAACTTTTGTAATCGAACTGAAATCTGCTAAAGTAGGGCCTACGGACAATTTATCATGAAGTCGGAGTTCAGGGGTCAATAGAGTCGAGACCCTACTATATATTTGAGACATCCATTCATCAGTTTTTGTTAGTAAATGAGGAATTTGTCATTGAAAAGATAACTAAAGTGACAACAGATTTCAACTCAAAAATTAGGTCGATACATGTTCATAGTATTACACTACATAGCTCTAGGGTTGAGGGGTTCTAAAAAATGTGTGGTTAAAAAGTAGATAAAATGTATGATTTTAAGTAATTGTGATTGAAAATGATGTCAAATTATAGAATTAAAAAATCTTAGTCAACATGAGTCTGATAGTTTACATGTTACCTATGTAATTAATGAAGAAAGTAATGTAAGGAATTTTTAAATCGATCATGTGGGTTTATATGTGTAAATTGTTGTATATTAAAGGCTATCAAATTCGGTCAAGTCGGTTTAAAAGTGATCTAATAAGATTTCGGTATTTGGGCTTCAATGCATCCAATTAAAGCATGAGTCTTTTATGTGTAGAGACCAGACTCAGATTCCTAATTCTATAATGGGCCGAATTAGGCCAAAGAGCACCAATATATAAATACGGTTATGATCCCCAAATCACATGTACGTATTTGCTCATTATGTTATGCCTCCCATCACTAGAGAGAGTTACGGGTTGCGTGTTGATTTGGAAAACTAAATCGTAAGATTCAACTATTGCATTAATCATGTCTGATTCAGGTACGCTTCCACTATAATTCATGTATATCTCGATGATCCAACATGAAGATCTAGTGATTTTATGGTAATAAACTCTCCTACAAGTAGTATCAGAGCCTTTTTCGTATTGAATCATTGAAAATTGAATTATATATTTGATTCTTGCAATATTTTTCGAAGTTTTCAAATTTAATAATTTTGGATCTATAGTTTGTTGAATTCGAGAACTTTTGCGGTATATTTCTCGTTATTGACTTCCATATTCGGATTAGAATAATTAAGAAATTTTCAGATTATGGATTTTTTTTTTGAAGAATTACATATTTTTGTGGATTTAAAAAAAAATTGTTTCGATTTTCTGGTAGCTGCACAGCAACAACACGGGCGCCGCTGCAAGAGATACCGACTTCGGCATCGCTACGAGGGAGAAAAGGAAGAATTTTTCTTAGGGTTTTCAGTTTCAGTTTTGGAAGATTTTGGGGCGGGGTCTTATGTACAAATTAGATTACTTGAGGTCCCTACTTGCAATTAGGGTTAGGGTTATAGATTTAAGATTCAAGTCCCTAACAGTTTAAAGCTCATCCAAGTTGGGTCATTACGTTCTTGTTTTAATAATTGAATCCCTAAAGTTTAAAAATTAATTAATTCGGGCTATTAAAGTGCTGAATTTTATAATTAAAGCCCTCAAAGTTTAATAATTAATTCAAATTGGCCCCCAAAGCTTTAATTTTTTATAATTTGCCCCCTAAAGTTTTGAATTGATTAATTTTTGGTCCCTAAAGTTTCAAATTTATTAATTTTGGCCCCTAATTTTTGGAATTAATTAATTTTGCCCCCTAAAGTTTTGAATTATTAACCCTTAGGCCCTTAAAGTTTAAAACTAAATAAAATATGCAAAATTTGTGGTTTTCTCTCTCAAATTTTGGTATTAAAGACTATTTTAAGAGATATAATATTCGAAAGTGAATTAATTGAAGCAATATGTTGACAAAGCAATTTCTCTTGTGAAAATTAATTAACTTAGAATATTAAAAGGTGTTTGTGCATACATTTTTTCAAGAGAATATTGATCGGCCCAAAGGAATGTCAGTATTTAGGTGAATTGCGCGTGCACCTGTGGTAATAAACATGTGGTGATTATTTGGTTTAATATGTAATCAATAAATCGATCCAAAGAAAGGTTTGTTGATTGACATATTATTTTATCGTTAATGTTTGATCACTACACTAAGAGTACCACTTACAAGTCAATATTTCTGTCCAAAAACTAAATATTGATATTGTGCCAGGTATCTTATGATGGGCCCTACCATTATTTGATATTATTATTATTTGCATATTAAAGATATTCACGTGAGTTATTCGTAATAATCGTTCTCTAATTTAGTTTCAGGATCTGCTAGCATCAATTCAATTCCAATGCTAGATGGCACAAACTTCAAGGCATGACAAGAGAACGTGATGATTGTTCTCAGACTCATGGACCTGGACCTTGCTTTACAGGTTGATCAACCTACTGCAATTACTGATAAGAGTACCTCTGACGACAAGAGGAAAATGAAAAATGGGAACGATCGAACCACATAAACTTAATGGTCATGAAGCATGCTATTCTAGAAGTATTTCGAGGCACTATGTCCGATAAGGTGACTACGGCTAAAAATTTCCTTGAGAATCTTAAGAAGAGGTTTGCCAAGAATGAAAAGGCTGAACAAGTACACTTTTGACAAACCTTGTCTCAATGATGTATAAAGGGAAAGGAAACATTCGAGAGTACATTATGGAAATTTCTCACATTGTTTGAAAACTAAAGGCACTTAAGTTGGATTTATCTGAAGACTTGTTGATGCACTTGGTTCTGATATCCCTTCCGGCACATTTTAGTCAATTCAAGGTGAGTTACAACTATCAAAAGAACTCATGTCCTTTAATGAGCTCATCTCACACTGTGTCCAGGAAAAGGAAAGATTGAAGTATGAGAAGACAGAAAGTGCACATTTAGCCACCACTTCCTAGGACAAAAGGAACAAGATAAGGAAGCAATGGGAACAACATCGCAAAAGAAACAGCATAAGGAACTAATTGAAAGTGCTTGTTTCTTCCGTGGAGGTGCAGGTTATAGGAAGAAGATTTGCACCAATTATCGCGCATGACGTGTGAAGAAATGTATTCTTCTTCATTTGATTTGTTCTGAGGTTAATTAAACTTCGGTATTTAGAATACATGGTGGATAGAATCTGGTGCAACAACTCATATCAGTGTGTCTATGCAGGGTTGTCTGCGTTGTCGAAAACCAAGCGATGGTGAAAGATACATCTATGTTGGCGACAGCAAGACGGTGGAAGTAGAGGCAATATAAAAATTTAGATTATTCTTAAAGACTGGTTTTTATTTGGATCTTAATGAGAGATTTATTATATCGTCTTTTAGACAGAATTTGATTTCTATTTCTACTTTGGACAAATTTGGTTATTCTTGTTCACTTGGAAATGGAAAATTTAGTATGTTTCATGATTCAAAATTAGTTGGTTTCGGTTCTTTATCAGGTTACAATAATTTTTATTTAATTGATGCAATTGTTTCTTTTAATGAATCATTGCATGTAAGTACTTGAGATGTAAAGCAAAAATTAACCTGGGAGAATTCTACCTCGTTGTGGCACAAGAGATTAGGTCACATCTTCAAGATGAGAATTGAAAGACTTGTGTCTGACAGGATTCTCGACCCTCTTGATTTCACAAATTATGATTTGCATGTTAATTGTATAAATGGAAAACAAACTAATGAAAGGAGATTTAAAATCAACAGTACTTCAGACATCTTAGAACTTATACATCGAATATTTGTGGATCATTTCCTACAGGTTCTTGGAATGGTCAACAATATCATATAACATTCATAGACGACTTTTCAAGATATGACTACATATATCTCATTCATGAAAAATCACAGTCACCGAATATGTTCAAAAACTATAAAGTTGAGGTTGAAAACCAACTCGAAAAAAGGATTAAAGGCATCAGATTTGACCGTGGGGTTGAATACTATGGCAGATATGACGATTCAGGTAAAAAGCATCCAAGACCATTTACTAAATTTCTAGAGAAATGCGGTATCTTCCCATAGTACACTATGCCGGATTCGCTCACTATGAATGGTGTTACTGAGAGACGAAACAAAACGCTTAAGGACATGGTGAGGAGTATGATTAGCCATTCTACCTTACTGAAATCTCATTGGGGTGAGGCATTAAAGATCGCAGCACATATACTCAACAAAGTTCCAACTAAAACCGTCGATAAAATCCCTTATGAGCTTTGGATGGACAAGAAGCCTAGTTGAAGCATATACACATTTGGGGATGTCCAGTTGAGGCGAGGACCTATAAGCCAAATGAAAAGAAACTAAACGCAAGGACCATTAGTTGCTTCTTTATTAGATATTCTAAAAGATGCAAGGATTACAAATTTTATGATCCCACAATTAAGGAAATTTTCAAGACAGGAAATGCTAGGTTTTTTGAGGATGTTGAGTTTGCGGAGGGAGAAAGGGTTACAGGCTTTATCTTTGAGGATGAATATGTAGAAATTCCTCCAATTGCAATTGACAATGATCAAATTTTGATCCCTGACGTTGTTCAAGAAACAACTCCGGATCAAGACAATGTCGTATCTCCCTCTCAAGGTTAACAAATTGTTCTAGAAGAAGAAACTCTACAGCCTCAAGCACCAATGCCATTAAGAAAATCCACTAAAGAGAGGAGAAGTGCGATTTTGGATGATTACATCGTATTTCTGTAAGAACATGAAGTTGACATTGGAATGGTGGAAGATGATCTGATCAACTTCTGTCAAGCCATGGAAAGTTTTAGCTCTCAAAAGTGGCTTGATATCATGAATGAAGAGATAAAGTCTATGAAGGACAATGACTTCGTAGACATCGTTCTATTGTCTGAATGTACGAAACTCATTGGTTGCAAATGGATATTTAAGATCAAGAGGGATTTGAAGGGTGATGTAGAGAGGTATAAGTCTCGTTTTATCGCAAAAGGCTTTACACAAAAAGAAGGCATCGATTATAAAGAACTTTCTCTTCGATTTCTTCGAAAGACTCATTCAGTACTATAATGGCATTAGTAGTGCATTTTCGATCTTTATTACATCAGATGGATGTTAAGACAACGTTTCTCAATGGTGACATTGGTGAAACAATTTATATGGTATAACCAGAAAACTTCGTATCGGATGATACAAATCAAATGATTTGTAAACTAAAGAAATCTATGTATGGAGTTAAACAAGCGTCTCATCAATGGTATTACAAGTTTCATCAAGTGATCATCTCATTTGATTTTGAGATGAATTTGATCGATGATTATAAATGCCACAAGTTCAGTGGGAGCAGGTATATTTTTCTGGTTTTATATATTAATGACATATTGCTTGCCAGCAATGATATAAGCTTATTGCGCGAAACCAAGAGATTTCTAGCAAAGAATTTTGAGATGAAAGATCTTGGTGGCGCCTCTTTTGTATTAGAAATTCAAATACACCGAGATCATCCTCGGGGTATTCTTGAATTATCGCAAAAGAGTTATATCAAAAATGTACTTAAAAGATATGACATGCAAGATTGTAAACCAGGTGACACCCTTGTGGCTAAAGGAGACAATTTCAGTTTAAGTCATTGCCCTAAAAATGACTTGAAAACTAAATAAATGAAGAAGATTCCTTATTCTTCAATTATAGGGAGTCTAATGTATGCTCAGGTTTGTACACGTCTAGATATAGCGTACATTGTTGGAATGCTAGGGATATATTTAAGTAACTCGAGAATGGATCATTGGAAAGCAGTCAAACGGGTCATGCAGTATTTGTAGAGAATAAAAGACTACATGCTCACATATAGGAGATCGGATCAGTTGGAGATCGCAAGTTATTCTGATTTCGATTTTGCGGGATGCCAAGATAGTAGGAGATCCACTTCAGGCTACATCTACCTGCTTGCTGGGGGTGTTATTTCCTAGAAGAGTGCTCAGCAAACACTTATAGCTACTTCTACTATGGCAACGGAGTTTATAGCGTATTATGAGGCATCGAATCATAGAATAGGACTACGAAATTTTGTCACTAGGCTGTACATTATGGACAATATAGAAAGATCGCTCAAGATATTTTGTGACAATAAATCAGCAGTGCTGTATTCCAATGGAGTCAGAACATATAGAGATCAAGTTCCGCTGTTAAAAAAAGAGTTCACAGTGGACAGGTGTCAATAGAATATATTGGGATAAGCTTCATGGTTGCGAATCCGCTTACTAAGGGATTGATACTCAAAGTCTTTCATGAGCACACTGTTCATATGAGTATAATGTCTCTTGAAGATATATAATTTCAGTGGGAGTTTGTATTTTTGCTTTTCATGTTAGATAGATATACTGTCATTTTGGATATGGTTTATGGTCAAAGTTATTTTTAGCTATAAGGTTTATTTGGTTTATTATCACTGAACTTGTTTAAAATGATTTTACTAAGGTATTAAGGTGGACTAGTTAGAAATAAGTATGTTATAGATCACATTACATGTAATTTTCATACTACACATCCACGCTTTATCCATGTCAATCAATTATATCGATATATGTTACCATTGATGGGTTTAGTTACGATGAAAATAGTGAAAGCCGCTTTGATCTTATGTTGATATGATTGATGGACGGGATTGTTTGGGGATGCATTCGGTGATGATAGCAAAATTTTGAGTACTCATAAAGTTATGTTTAATGCACAATTGTAAGGTGACACATATAGTCCAAGTGGGAGATTGTAAGGAATTTTTAAATCGATCATATGGGTTTATATGTGTAAATTGTTGTGTATTAAAGGTTATCAAATTCAGTCAAACTCGTTTAAAAGTGATCTAATAAGATTTCGGTATTTGGGTGTACATTTAATACATTTATTTGTTTTGTTGTCATGCTCAATTCAACATGGATTTTTAAATAAATGTACTATTTCTCAACCTACCGAATAATTAAAGATTTTTCTAATCATTGACGGAGAAATCTTTTGTACTAATTTCCTTATTTTTCAGAGAAAAAGAAAATCTCTAATTTGAAAAACTAATTGTTTGAAGAGTTTGTGACAATGTTATCTAATAACATTTAAATATCAGAATGCTTTTACTATTTATTTTTTAAACAGAAAAATATGTGATTTGTGAAATATTTGTACCTGAGGAACCCCAACAACCATGAAGTACAAGCCTTTAACAGGATGATTTGCCAAAGCCATTCTTTCCACTGGTCCAATCACGTTTGATACTGTCATGCTTGTGTTCTTAAGCGTGCTATGAATGTATTTAGCAGTCACCTAAAAATAATTCAACCAAGATTTTACCTAGTCGAGCATGTATAACATCGTGTGCACATTGTAAAGCACAGATCAATTGAAATACATACCTCAGGTCCTCTATACCTCCTAACCGCGTCAAGTAATTTTCCCGTGAGAAGTACTGCTGCCGAGTTTTTCTTCCTCATTATAGTTTCTTGTGTTTTGAGTGCAAAGTTTAGAGGATTTGTTAAGTCGTTTTCAGTCAAATGTGGGAGAGAAACATGAATAAAGGCAAATTGGTTCCCCCACGGTGACTCTGCATCTGTTTTCACCATCTCCTGCACAGATTTGTAGCCACCAATGTTTCTGGTATTGAGCAACACCAATGAAGTGGAATCTGCATTCTTCTGCTCATTATTCACCTCTTGCATGTATAATCTAGTCCCCAAGAAAATTACTCCACATATAACACCATTTATAGTCTGTTGAAATATTTATAAAAACATCAATATTAGAAATCTGTTTCCAATAATAACACTTATGGCTTGTTTAGTACTAATTCTTAGAATCAATTTTTTGAGCGTTAGAAAAAAAAAAAGTGGGTCTCTCCAAGAAGTCAAAAAATGACGCTGACTATATTAAATAATGGTCAAAAAATTAATTTTTTGACTTGAAAAATTAGAACCAAATAGGAGCTTATTGTGCAAAGAGAGATTATGAGGTTGTTTGATAAACCTTTTAAAAGTTTCAGCAGATTTATAGAAAAGTTAATAAAATGTGTGTTTGAAAATTTGATAAAAGTTGTGAGTTCCATGAAACATGTGCTTAAAATTGAAAAGTTCATAAATTTTTAATAAAATTTTATCAAACAAGCACTATACTTTAAAAAATAGATTACAATGTGTGTACATATATGTTTTTTTGCGGGTAGGTTAGTGATGTGAAAACGCCCCCGTCTCGAATGGGGCAAAAAACCCACCCTAAATAGGTTGGCAGGATGGGGCAGGGCACCTCTTCTCAGGGCGCGGCAAGGATGCCCCGCCTCTTGAAGGAAAAAAATTAAAAATAATTTTATTTCTAAATAATTCACCCCTTAAAAACTCATTTTGAATTTGTACTTTATTATTTAATAATAACATAACTCGAAACTTTAAAAAAAATAAAAAAT